CACACCCACACCCACACACCCACACCCACACCACCCACACCCCCACACCCACACCCACACCCCACACCCATCCCCACACACATTCACACACCCACCCACACCCCACACCCACATCCACACCCACCCACACCCACACCCTCAAGATTGCAACTTCTATGGCTTCTCCACCGTCTCAATCGACTACGACCATGTCGAATACTATCCATACTGATGAGCTATCAACATCAAGCAATGTACAAGAAGAAACTTATGATGTTATCCATAATGGTAAAAGTTTTGAATGTAATTCAAGACGATTGTGTGATACAGCGCAAAGTATAATTATGTATGACAAAGAAATAGGAGCAAATGCAAGATTTGTTGTTAACAAAGTATTAACGAAGCTAATATTAAGTGGTGGTGCCACTGATGAACAACTATCAAAAGAATTAGAAAATCATGAAAAGATTGCTGTTGAACATTATATAAATCGCACAAAAGAGTTGGAACAAAGTTGCGCTACTGCTGAATTAAAATAATTATTAAAAATGTATCCACAATTTGTGATCGATTTAATCAAAGGTTACATAAATCAATTTACCACGAGGCTTGGTCAAGAAATAAAAGAAAAGAATGGAATAGTATCAAAAATAGATAGTCCTAATGACGTCGTATGGAAACATGAAACAATCAAGGAAAAAACTGTTACTATTGTTAAATGTATACAAAAATCAAGTGAAGATGGTCATGTTAGAGTTAACTTAACATTTAATACAATACATGTTGATCTATGTACATGGAGATGTATATTTCTTAAAGGTACATCAGGAAAAAAAACATTCAATGTGAGAGATATACAAATATTACTTTCTCCTTGAGATTACACCAATAAGAATCAATTTTTACATTGCTGACTATTGTCGTAAACTTGTTTCGTTGATTTTACGTTTGCATTAAACCCAGATATATGTATAAACTAGATAAGATTTTTATTAAATCAAGCATTCAAATCACTGCTAGCGATTGAACATATATCAGCGACTATTTATCCTAGAATAGACAATGTGGATGAATGTGAGTGTGGATATAGGGTATCGGCTATGCATCCGAAGTAACTGAAAGTCAAAGATAACAGGGTGTGGGTGTAGGAATGTGCAGTGTCAGTGTAAATACTGAAATATTGACGTCAGGGTCACCGATGCAGTGTCCACTGGAACACTGACACTGACGTTCACTGGAACACAGACAATACTGATACCTGCGTTGAGTGGAACACTGAAGCACTGATTCTCTCAAAATATGCATATTGGGTGATTTTACTTATAGTTATCAATGAAAAATAGAGAATTGAACAATCCTGTGCTACCAAAAGTATCATAAATCTGGAGAATCTGTAACTTAGAATAATAAAGCCAACTCTATAGGATTACATCAATTCTTATTTTCCTCTTAACGCATGAATACTCTCTTCAAATATAGAGTCTTCCAATCATATACTCATTTTCTTTCATCATTTTAGTATGTTATATAGGGTTTCTCGTTCTGTCGTAAGCATCTAAGAGGTACAAAGACATTCATTACTCTAAAAATGATAAAATTTTAAATTGATTCAGCCTATTTATTCCAAATTGTCCAGTGAAAAATTTTAAGGATTAAAATCGATTAAAATTCAAAAAATCCTGTGGACATAATCCGAATGGAAAACTCGATTTGTGCTAAACAAAATCAAGATTGTAATCGATTATAATCAAAATTAGAATCAATGCCAATCGATTATTAGAAACTTCTAATCGATTTATATTGATTCTAATTTAGATTTTAATGGATTGAAATTTTGATTTTGTTTAACAAAAACCCGATTTTCAATTTTGATGATAATCTGATTATAACTCGATTTTTTTCGTACAATAATCCTATTAATAATTTTCATTTTACTTGATAAGGAGATCCACTGATAATCTATTATAATATGGCGTTTACTTTATCGAAATCATATAGAAGATCCTTATGAATTGCACTTCAGAACGAATTTCCTTGATATTCCAGATTTTGTAGAATTTGTACCTGTGAACGACACTGTAGGTTGAAGAAACCTTACAAGCTTTCTAGAACTGTAGAAATAACGCAGGGTGTGGGTGGGTATGTGTGTGGATGTGGATGTGGGTGACGGTGTGGTTGTGCACATTTGAAACTGATGCACACAGCCATATCCACACACTCACACCCACATTCACACTCAAACCCACACGCACACCCCCACACCCAAGATACACAAACATTTTTTGAAAAATTACCTTTCGATAGAATCCATGTCATGAGTTCATCTTTTTCCAACCATATTGAATCAGTACATGGCCAAATCAAAGAATACACACGATTAGAAAAAGATTTTTGAGACAAGACTTTGATCTAAGTAAATAAAGACGATGTCGAACGAACATCAAAAAACTGTTTGTCTCTGTCGTTATTCACTACCAGTAGAATACCAGTATCTCAGTTATTTAAAATTTTTCCATTTCAAATTCATAATTGAAGTACATGACAATCATTCGAATCATTGTCACTCTTTAATTACTACTCGGATAGTCGCAAGTATGATTCACATCTTTTCAGAAGTTCGTGCAGCAATAATTTACACACAAAAACAAGCGTTCTTAATGACGAGAATAAAAAGAAGCAGCTGTTACCACACCAAATAATTAAGAATCATGCATTTGATGCAAAAAAATACTCATATATGAGAATGGAAAAAATATTTCAATGAATGTGTGGATGTGACTTTTTTTTCTGTTCTCCTACGCAACCTTTCATCTAGAAAAGCAACAAAGAAAACATGAGAGCATAGAATATTGTAAAAAAATGATTCATAATGACACATTAAGTTACTCATTTTATCTTTAAGTCTTTCAATGTTATAAAAATTATTTATTTTCAGTGTTTCAGAATAATATTTTTCATTCAAGCTCAACAGCTATTTACAAACAAAATGGCAGCAATGTCGTTTAAAAGTTACATAGTAAATGAACAGGAAGTTGGTGTAGAATTTCTCGATCAGATCGACAATACAGTAAATGATGTTATTACACGTAATGTTTGGACTCAATTAAAAGCAGCACAACTTAGTGAAACAGAATTAGAAGAAGCTGTTCAAATGCAAGGATTGGAAAATGATAAACATACACGACTTTTTACAAAATTTTTAACATTGGCTACAAATTTTTCATCAGCTAATTTTACTAATCGTTTAAGTAGTGTACCAAAAGTTGTACAATGTATTGCTGATCTTCTTGATGCCATGCGTCGTGAAGTTGAAGAATATGCTGATATTGCCAATCAATTCGAAGAACTTGTTTATATATTTGGTAAACTTGTTATCGATACACAACATAAAATGGGCTTAATTTTACCACATATGTCTGAAGCTAAAGATCATCTTTCTGTATTAACTGATGTATTCAATTCAAATGGAACTACTCTAACAGCTATTGATCAAAATGATATTAAAATTGCTATGAATGGTCTATTGAAAGGTATGAAGCAAATGATTGATTTATCACATGGTAGTGGTCAAGAAAGTCGACAATTAACCGAGCGTATCACTAAATTAAAAACCAGTGTTCAAAAGCAACGTGGAACTGTACATGGACGAATTCATCTATCAAAAGCTCTTAGTTGTCTTGGTCCTTTAGCTGGAGCTGGTATTGTTGCACGTGCTGTTGGTACATTAGTTGCTATTAAAGAATTCGGTGGACCTGGTATGCTTATTGTAGCTGGTGCAAGTTTGAATCCAATTGCAGCTATTATATGTGGTGCATTGATTGGAGGTACACTTATTGTAACTATTGCAGGTCTTGTTTATCGCTTTTGGACTCGTCATCAATATAAAGCATTAGCGTTTCTTGAAAAAATTAGTGTAGGCCTCATGGAATTAGCAAATGCAAATTTATTCTTACTTGATTATCTTAACAAAAATGAAGAAGCAGCCAATAAAATTAGTACACAAATTGAACAAATTCAATGTTCACTTACTAGTGAACGATATCGTAAACAAAATGGAAAGCTTTGTAAGAAAGCATTTGAAACGGTCGAACAAGCTGTTCAAGTTATTGAAAACATTCGAAATATTGACATATCACAATGGCTTACACCACAGAGTTCGCCACATTTTAGTATACAAAAAACGGCTTCGCCTGCAGCAATATCTCAATAATTATAAAAATAATTAAATTCAAATAGCATTTCATATGTTTGTTAGCAATTTGAGTGAATGATAATGATAAAATAAATATTAAATGAAAATCCAAATATTTAATAATATGAAAATCATTCGAATGAAATCAGTAGAAAAATTTCGAACAAGATATGATTTCATTGTCAACTGTTGTACAATCTAGTAAATGATAGAATCCTACTGGAATTGTAGTTTATTTATAATTCGATTAAACGCATTTATTTCTTTTGTTTTTTTTTTTTTTATAAATCATTGATCTTGAAGCCAACATTTGTTGATATTGTATAGTTCACTAAAACTTTGTCATCATTCACTATCGATTGATGTTCAGCATCTTTTAGATATTGAATTCTCTCTCTGTTCATTATTGCCCAATTTTTAGAAGATTTAAGATAAGAAACAACTCAATGCTTGAAAAACGTTTGACTAGACCACTGCATCTATAACTATTTTTGGCTTGTAAAATTCGTATTTGCACATAGAAAAATATTGACTTCTTTTATAAAATATAAATTGAATATGACACCAATTTTATACTGAAATTATTCTTCTGACTTTTATTATTGCTTGTCTTCTCTTTCGGTTTCTCTTCAAATAAAATTGATTACCTTCTATTGACTAAGACTTATAATTGATGCCTACGTATGTTAAATTTTGACATTTGAAAATTGTATATATTTGCGTACACCTGTAGAGTAGGGTGTGGGTGGGTGTGGGTGTGGGCATGGGTGTGGGTGGGGTGGGGTGTGGCTATGGGTGTGGGTGTGGCTAATCTCTTCTCCCACACCCACACCCCACAGCTGCCGACATTCACACCCCAATTATATTATAACATTCAGCAACATCAATATTGAGGGTGTGGGTATGTGGGTGTGGATGTGGGTGTTGTTCTTCTTCTACAGCACACCCACACCCATACCAGCACCCACACCCACCCACACCCAGATCCACCCACACTCACACTCACATCCACACCCACACCCCACCCACACCCACACCCAGATGAGTCATACGACGAATATCTGGACATAAAAATTATCCTGGCAAATCTTTTCTATAAACATTTGATTTCTATTGGCTAATGATCAACAAATAGGATTTGAAAATGAGTATAGCTTAGATTTGAACTCTTCGCCTTGACTTACCCTAAGAAAGTCGTTGTTTTCTATAACTTGATTTCTATTGGTTACTGTTCAACCAACGGGATTTCGAGGCGAATGGAGCACAGATTCGAGTTCTCCACCCCAGAAAACCTCGAAGTATCATCTCCGTGATTGGAAGATAGAGCTCGAATTATGGATCAATTCG